CTCTCTCTCTCTCTCTCTTTCTTTCTTTCTGTATTATCATCTACATAATTTTATCTATAAATGACAAATAATTTTATCTATAAATATAAATAAATAAAAATAAATTGTGTCATGTCAGGACACAATATATACATGACAGGTACAAAACGGACTGCGCATGCGTGAACGCGACCGACTTACTAGCCTCACATAATATTTAAAAATGTTTTCTTTATTTCGTGTACTATTTTTACCAAAAGAAGAAAAGGGGAATATTTTGAACTTTCTAGAATATTCGACCAGAAGAAAGCTTCGGAGGAGATTTTTCTGATTTTTATGAATTTTTTTTAACAGAAACGGTAAGATCAATGGACTTGAAATTTTCACAGTGTATTCATTAATATTCAAAGTATAAAATAAATGTTATTTAGTCACGAGAACCGATTCAATTTGTAATTATAGATAAAAATGCAATCGTCCGTTTGCGAGCTCTATATTTGCTGTCGACATAATTCCAGGCCTTTCACTACTCTAAAACCAAAAAATGAGAAAGATTTTTAAAATATACGGTTGCCATTATAACCCGTACCAAAATAAAGGCAGTGAAGCCAAGTTTGGAAAAATAATGACTACAAAAAAAAGTATCGAAAATGAAACTTTTTTCAGCTTATCATCGTTTAACAAAATGAATAAAATAAAATATAACTGTGTTCGAGGTACGGTTTTGAAAACTACACGTCTACTCTATATTGTGTAAAAATTTCAAGTTATTCAGTTTGGTATATACTGAGAAAAAATTGTATTAAAATTAAACAGATATTTGTTCGAATACGACTGTGAATTTACTTAAATTAAGCGACTAATTTCTAAAATGAAATACAGAGGTTCTCTGAATGTAAACTTTTTCTTGAATTTTAGAAAATAATTGCTTAATTTAAGTACAGTCACAGTCGTCGTATTCGAACAAATATTTGTTTAATTTTGATACAATTTTTTCTCAGTGTAGTTTCTGCGCAATCGTGTCGACCCTTCAAGAGAATGATATTCCCAGATAAACGCGCTTAAAATTTTACCTATACTTTCCATATAGTTAGTAACAAATTTATTTTATGATTGAATATACTGTGAAAATTTCAAGTCCATATTGATCCTACCGTTTCTGTTGAAAAAATTCGTAAAAATAGCCTCGTAAAAACGGCCTGCTCCGCGTGCTGCTTCCCCCCTTAAGCAACAGTAAACCCGCGGCCGGCCAGGTCAGTCCCCTCGGACCGTCATCACTGGACGCCCAATCTCTGGTGCGGTCCACCAACGCGCGACTGTCTGGACGAATTCTCGCGTGACTCGCGTCGAGCTCGACGGCGCGGCCGCGGTGCTCAATGGCGATCTTGTCGGAGCAATTTCGTTACACTTCCGACACCGTTTCTGTAGACGGGCTCCGGCTTTCGATAACGTCCCGACTGCTCTCTCATTAAAATTCAATGCCGCCCGCCCGCTCGCTCGCTCGCTCGCTCGCTCGTTCGCGAGTGCACTCTTTTCCGCCGTCTTCGCGATAGCGATCTTGAAGCCCTTCCACTTTCGCGACAACAACTTTCGACGTGCTCGCGCGCGATCATCGCTCGCACGAACGATGGTCGATAGGGGGGGGGGGCGGATTTCAACCTGGTCTATAACAGGTGCGGTGAGCCTTTAGCCTTTAGCTTGCTCCGAGCTTGCTGTCATTCCTGGCAAGGAACGTGTCCCAAGCTGGACTCAAGAAGAAGGATTTACCCCTCAGCTGTTGATGAAGAGAAATAATGAAATTACCAACACAGGTGACGAAAAATAAGGAATCATGACATAGCGTATATATATTCTCCTCCCCGCGGATATTTCCTTCATCAACCAAGCCAAGGGGTTAAAGAAGCTCAAGGATGACGACGAGACTCGAGGTCGCTTTTAGCTGAATATCGCAGATATTCAAGTCGCGGAGCTTTGAGAGCTCAGAGAGAACGAAAGGCTAAAGGCTCACCGCACCCACCAGGACTCGCACGCGAGATTGCGAATCGACCGGCCGTGCCTACCCATCGCGAACGCGATGTCATCGTAGAAGAGCGGAGACTGGGAATACCGCCGATTGCTGAGACCGGCCGAGCGACCGAGTTTGATGGAGGAATGTAGAACGAGAGCGAGAGCGGGAGCTTTTCGTGCTCGATATAAGGAATGAGTCATACTTAAAGAGGTAATCTGTACTTTGCGCGTAATGCCGTCCGAATTGGCTCTAATGACGATCTCCTGCCGCACATATCGCTCTTGCGACACGTTCCTCTCCGCGGCAGAAGAGCACGTCTTGCGCAACGCCGGCCGGCCGTATTCGCGGCGGAAAAATCACGTACGCTTTTCTCTCTCTCTCTCTCCCTCTCGAGACGCGACACGCGCGCGTCGCGTCCCGTCCCGTCGACTTCGGGGTCGAAGGAGAGAGATGTTGACGCAGCTTGCTATGCTGAGTCGGCGCGCGAGAATGCCCGCGCGAGCCGTGCAATCGCGGCGGGAAGGACCGAGGGCCTCGGTAAATTGACACGCGGATAAGAAAGGTTCGGAACACTGTCGTCGAAGCCGCCAAGGTCGCGTTATGACACAGAACTCCAAAGGCCGTACCTGCGAGCGTGTGATTTCGCTTCGGCCGTGATTCCGCGATACGCTAACTCGCGTCGACTTGGCGAGTGTCGCGGGCGAGAACGGTGGTTACGCCCCGAAATACTAAAGGCCCGCTGCGGAATCGCTGGCGGGAACTTCGCTTCGGTTGCAAGATTGGCAGGCCTTAAGCCTTTGACGCCCTTAAAAATTTGAGTTTCTTTGAACTGAGGCTATGAGTAATGATAACCAAAAAAAAATATCAGAATTTTATACTGGTTCTTTTATCGTTCGTTCTTCGTCTATTGGTAAATATGACTTGGGTCCTGAAAGCATGTACGAAATAAGCAACCTGTACGGAGAAAAATGAAGGGTAATCTGTACGACATAACTCTGATAGTCAGCTTGACATTTTTCAGCTGAAACTTTACTATATTTGTGAGTGAAGTTTATCATTCAGAGCGTCGAGCTTGCTGTTTCGGGAGAATATCTTATAGATCACCATTTAGATAGTCAATCGTCCCTTCACTTTTTCGCCGCATGAAAAACTGTAGGTCACACAGTCACAGGTCTCACGAAAATAGCTTGATTTCTTGATTTTCGTGTCCACCATATTGGATTCGCCATTTTGAATTTCTGTATTCTTTTAATTTCACATTTCGCATCTGAGAAAGCTTCCAAATGTATAAAATTATAACAGATACCAATCTATTCATTTACAGTGCACTTCTAGATGTCAGTAACAATGCTAACTATGTCTACTTGGAATTTGACGAAACATGTTATCGTTAAAACTGAGCTAAAAACAGACTAAACCGAATCTACATACAATCTATATATACCACCTTTACAGTGGTGCAAAGAAAATGAAAATATCTTCTTTTTTGACTAAGTTATGAATTCTTAAATGCATTTCTGGTAACTATAGTTACCAGTAGGCGTTAAAGGGTTAAACTGGCTTAGATACGTTCCGTAACTGATCAGCTGATCACCTCACAGCCATGTGCTACTTCTGTTTACAAACTTGCTTTCAGCTATTCATTTCGCAGTGTTACGTACGAACGTATCCAAGTTAGCTTAAGGCCTACCAATCTTGTGATTAAGATTAAGAAAATTTTCCGAAACCGATTTCGGAGCAGATCCTTGGGTGTTCCGGTTAAGGGTTTACTTAAGGGCTCACTGTGTCAATAAAATCTAGACTAGAGATATTTTGAAAGATGATACGCCACTTCAGAATTTGGATAGTTTTACAAATAATTCGACGCGTGTCATGCGTATTCGTGAACATAACCACACTTTTTAATGCGATTGAAAATGGCACGTGACAGAGAGCATTTTCTCGTTACTTATTTACCGCTTGCCGAAACTCACCGATTCCATTGAGAAATTTATTTCGAGTCTGCTCTCCATCGGTTCTACTGGTTTCGAGGTTTCAAAGTGGTGATTTTGATTTGGAAGACAAAGAACGTTCGAGTCGAGCGAAAAAGTTCAAAGGTGCCGAGTTGCAGGCATTGTGGGGTGAAAACTCAAACAGCTCAAACGTCTCAAGAATTAGCTGAAGCGTTACATACTGGTCAACAAATCAACCGTTTCTGATCGTTTACATGCAATGGGAAAGATCCAATTGAATTGTGAATCGTCCGAATTGACTATTCGAGGTCCAATTTGCACCTCATTGTTCTCTCATCGCAGAAAGAAGCAGTTTTTGTAACTGGCGAGGAAAAATGGACCCCCAATGATAATCCTGAGCGTGAAAGATCGCGGGTAGGTCCAAGTCAACCATCGACATCGACCTCAGAAAGCAACTCCAGTCCGCGGAAGTAAGGTTAGGTTGTGCGATTGGTGGGATATAAGAAAGGCGCCATATTATGAGTTGCTAAAACCGAATCAGTCACTGCTTATCAGCATTATCAGCGACAATTAACCGATTTGAATCTGCTTTGAAGCAGAGACGTCCGATAATAATTCGAAGAAGACGCAAAGCGATTTCGTTGCGCGACGATGCTCGACCACACGTTGCGAATGCAGTTAAAGATACGTCATCGGCGCCTCAATGGGAAGTCTTACCATTCGCCGTGCTTCTTCGGATTATCATTTACTCCGGCCGATGCGGCACGGCCTTGTCGCGACCAGCGCGCTTCCAAACACAAGAAGAAACAAAAAAGCGGCTCGACGAATGGATCGCTCCGAAGGACGAACGTTTTTTTCGTCGCGGAACTCACTCATCGGCGGAAAAGTGGGGGAAGGTTGCAGCTAGCGACGGAAAATATGTTGAATAAAGCGCAGTTTAGTCTCTCCCTCTGAAACAAACGTGTGTCTTTTCGCGAGAAATCCCTCGAGCGAAGCGTCCAATATTTGCATTATTACATATGACGCGACGCTGATGACCATCGTCCTCCTTGATGTTGCAGAACTACCTGTCGCAGTACGGCTACCTGCAGCCGAGCAACCCGGAGAACGGGGCCTTCCTCAGCTCGGACAAGCTGACCGCGGCGATTGAGGAGTTCCAGGCGTTCGCCGGGCTCAACATAACAGGTACGTGTTTGTTTGCAAGCCCAGCTCCGAGCTCTCGAGCCGCGTTGGAGCTTTTGTTGTCCATCAGCGACGCATGCGACCGTCATTGGTGAGTCACTCGCGAGAATCGCGGAGGATGCGTTTACTCGGTGTCACGTGCGCTGACGATTCGGGGGAGAAATGGCGGCACGTGAAATTCTCCGGAGATGATAACGCGGCGCGATGATAACACGGCGAGCGCGGTTCTCCGAGCGGGCCGTTTAATGACAACGGCGAACGATGATTCAGAATTCGATGAAACGCGCGACCGAACTCGAACCGGCGCTCGAGTGAGTCATTACGTGTCCGTTGCGAACGAGGGGGGGGGGCGGGAAGGGGGATTGTTGGAGAAAATAAATATCCTCGTTACGACACGGCGCGGCGCGGCCTGAGAAAAATAAATCCCGCGCAAGAAAATAAGATAAAGCCGCGGCGCGACAATGGCGGCCGTGTAACGCGAATTTCTCCGGCGTGCGTTGCTTGTTGTCGCAAGCGGCGGGATTAGTAAATTTCGCCCGGCCGAAGTTCGCCGATCTCTCGTTGAGAAACGCCAGGCGTCTCGCCAGGCGTTACGTGTCGGAAGTGACAAGCGTGTCGAGAAGGATATTCTGCGAGGCAGACGGGGAGAGGAATGTGACTCGCGCCGCGCCGATCGTAAACGGTAAACGCGCGTGGAAGCCCGACGGCGGCAGGACGGGAACGAGCGATGGAGCCCAATAAAAAGCGAAGGTGAACGGAAGAGTGATCTAACTGTAAAATTGTAGGCCATCGGTGGCGGTATTATTCGAGATGAGAAGCGTGTTTATCGACCGTGATCTGCACGCGCGCGCGCGCCAATGACGACATTTGAAAACAAGAAGAGACGCACCGGAAGAGCGTCTCCTTGCGCGAACTTTGTTTCCCGTGGCTGAATTGTCGCTGCATTATCTCGCACCAGCTCTCTCTATCTCTCTCTCTCTCTCGCTCCAACTCTATATATTCGTCTTCCTTGAAATAACAATGAGCGACCCGAGCAGAAAAATTAATAAGGCTCTGATGAGGGCCTGATTATTTTTCCCTAACATTAATCGAGCCCTAGTAGGGATAGAAAGACAAGAGCCCTACGAGATGTGTAACAATAAATTTAACGGGTCCTTATAAGGCAATATTAGGGAGGATATTATAAGGCAATATTTTTATTATTACTTGAGTAAAAATATTCGTTCCTTTTATTTCAAGAAATTTAGACTGTAATTTCTTTGTTTCTTTATAACCTTGTTAGTATACAAGAATTTATTATTTTAAAAATATAGCATCCTTTACAGATAAAAATCCTGCTACTGTTTTTATTAAAATTTGCTGCGTTTCAAAACGAAGGCGATATTAGAAAAATCCTTGGAAGAAACTACTGAATATGGCAGCTAATAAAACTAATAAAATTTGTACTAAACTATGACAATTTTATTACACGTTTCAAATCTTATTAATTTTCTATAACAAAACTTAATTTTGTATACCTAAAGCATCCTTAAAAGATCCTTCTAAGGCCCTTCTCAATTTTTCCTATCAAAGCCATATTTACTCAATCTAAGGCATCCTTCTAAAATCTAAAAAATCCTTCTAAACCCTCATCAGTTTCCTTTATCAAAGCGTTATTTCCTAAAATCTAAGACATCCCTAAAATATCCGCCTCGGGGTCTGACGTGATAACAATGAGGCCATCCCTTTTCAGAACTTTCAGCCTTATGCTTCATGAGGATGGACCTAACAATTTTTCGCTCGGGGACCTCCGTTTGATCTTCAAAGGACCGATCTTACCTTCTAAATCGATTCTCTCCTACTCAATTTTTCTACGAACCGTAGAATTCTTCCAATAAAGAATCATTTTCCATTGGCATTCCTATCGGTGTCGATTCTCGTCTCGTTCCCTGAAAAACTCAACTGGGAAATGCAAGCCTCTTCAGCGACGGGGAACGGAGTTTTCAAAGGAACACGCTCGACGCTTTGAAATCTCCCCAGAACGGCGCGGGAGGCAGGAAAAAGGGGGGAGGGACAAACGTGCTTTTTTTGCGAGAGGCCGCTGGGGTGCGAAAAAAACGGCGCGGCGAAAGACAGCTTCGCGGCTTTCTTCGTCGGCCAGATGAAAAAGTCATCTCCGCCATGGCGAGCTGCCGACTCCGGAATCCGCGAGCGCCGCGAGGAGTCGCGTGACCGGCGGAGTCGCAAGAGCGTATGCATGCACATATCGCACGAGCACTCCCGCGTATTATGCATACTATGCATGCATGCATGAGGAATTAATACGTGCACGGGCTGCTGATGCACACGCGGCACACACGCGTGAGCGCGCGGATGTGCCTGCCATTACGCACACACACACATACACATCGACAGGTGGCACGCGGGGAATCGATATAGCGCTCGAGGAGGAACCCTTAATTACGCCGCTTAATTACGTGCATCACGCGATTACCGCGGAATGATCGCGGGCGAAGAGTAACGGAGCCCGGAGCGAATGAAAAATTAATTTTCGGTCGTCGCGCCGCTTCCGGCGAGCGCTTCCGGCGCCGCCGATTATGTTTCGAGAACAGACTTTCTGGGAACACGAGGACACGGAGAAGGGGAGGGGGGTGGCAATTTGCGGAGATTATCGTGTATTGTGTCTACATGTGTGTGTGTATGTGTCTCTTGTTGCAGGCGAGCTGAACGAGGAGACCGCCCGGCTGATGGCCACGCCGAGGTGCGGAGTCAAAGACAAAGTCGGCCCGGCGGCCGATGGCAGATCGAAGAGATACGCTCTTCAAGGTAAGCGAAAAAGAGCGACGCGTCGCGAGTCGCGCCCCGTCCGCCTCGGACCTCGCGATTCGTGTCGGAGCGCGGATAATCGGCCGGTTGGCAAATCCAATGGAGAAAAGTCCGCGAATTGTGGCCGCGGACGACGACGTGACCGCGGGATATGACATAACTTCGCGTTTGATCGAGCGTGCGATTATCTAATCGCACTCGGCGAGATATTGGCGGGACTGAAAGTCGCGCAAGTGGCACGCGGGGGCACAATGAGCCAGCCGCGGCGGAGGGGGGGGGGAGGGGCGATTGTTGACGGGAGAGCCGGGGAGCGGGGGGCAGGCAGTTTGAATATATTAATCGCGCGCGTACGTGAAGCGCGCCGACAATTGGCATTGTCTCTCCTATTTTACGATGTTCCTGGCTCGCGTCGCCGTGCATCGCGCGGCCGTAGCGGCGACTTCCTGCCGCCGCCGCCGCAGCGATATAAAGTCAGTCACCCTAAACGGGTCACGCGGATCTGTATCGCGATAGCCGTCCGACGCTCCAAATGCATTCCTAATCGGCCGTATGAATTTATGCTCGAGTTAACTGTTGCATTTCGCGCTCACTTCGCTATCGAACGGCTATCGACGCGCCGCGGCGAGGCGGCGGAGATACGCGATGCGTTCCGCGAGCGATGCGACGCGCGATTGTCCTCGGCCTCTACGGCCTCCTTCGGCCGAGGTAGGCTTGCCAGACGCAAAATCACGATTTCCGGGACATTTTTTAGGCGACGGCGTCGAAAAGTAGATTGTTAAAGAATTTTAGTTAGTTCAATTTTCCCCCTTTTTTTACCACGCAAATGACTTACTTCACATCAATTTTCTCAGGTGGCGCGTCAAATTTTTTGACCTTACAAATCGCGGTGACTGCTCTCAGATTTCCCTCTAGTACCAGTTAGAACATGATTATTATGATTACAATTTCGTTGCAATTCTGACTTTCTGAGAGAGACTTGCTCTGCCGGATCATCTCGACTCACATCCCCATCCGTGCCTCGTGAATTCGTGAAATATACTGGGAAATAAATATAAAATGTTTTGGGAAAGAAATAGAGTGAGAGAGAGAGAGAGAGAGAGAGAGAGAGAGAGAGGAAAAAAGATATAAAGGTAAAAATGAAGCGCAGGTGAAGGGTAACGCAAGAGGAACGAAGCGAATTCAAGAAGCGAATTTGATTTTACGACTCCTTCGTAAGCTTATACCTGTGTCACAGCGGTTTTAGTTCATCTTTTTCCCGCTGTTTCATTTCTAAACGGGATATTTTACGATTTCGTTCACCTTTATCTCTAAAATTCGCTTCTGGCATCTCTGTTATCTTTACCCGGCGCTTCATTTTTACTTTTACTTTTAAATCCTTTTTCCTCTATTTCTCTTCTAAAATATCTTGTATTTATTCCCGAATATATTTTACGAGACTCCATCGCCTTAGTTCCACTTTACATTTTTTCTCTATTTCTTCTTTAAACATATTTTATAATTCCATCTATCTTCATTTCTAAAATTCGCTTCTTACATCTCCGTTCCTCTTATCTATCTTTACCTTTACCTGTGCTTCGCTTTTACTTCTCCTTTTCTATTTCTCTTCTAAAATATTTTATATTTATTTCCTAATATATTTTACGACTCTATTTACCTTTACTTCCAAAATCCGTTTCTTGGATCTCCGTGGAGCTCTTATCTTATCTTTACCTACGCCTTAGTTTCACTTTACATTTGTCTCTATTTCTTCTTTAAACATATTTTATAATTCCATCTACCTTCATTTCTAAACTTCCTAGAAACATTTACCTGTGCTTTGTTTTTATTTTTACCTCTATTATTATATTTTTTTCTTAAATATATTTTATGATTCCATCTATCTTTGTGTCCAAAGTTTGCTTCTCGGTACTCTTCTTATTTTACTTCGCTTTCACTTTTGCTTGTATCATCACCTATACCTTTCTTCTATATTCTGTTCCTAAATATATTTTATAATTCGATTTATCTTTACTTCTAAAATGTGCCCCTTGGATTATTTGCTTCTTAGACCATCGTTTCTTTTTCCTCTTACCTTAGCATCACCTCAACTTTCACCCTTACCTATACCTTTACTTTGCATTTCATACCTACATTTTGCATTTTACCTTTCTTACATTTTCATATTTATATTTGTCCTTATACATTTTTACCTTCGTGTAGTCCTCCGCTCAACTACCTATTGCGACACGCGCGGTTCAAAATCGCACGCCGCGGAGATCGCGCTTGCGAGCGCGAGAAGCGTGTGATGTAAAATTACGATTGCGATTAAAAGTCGTTAGCGATGTGAAGCCGCGTTTACGATTATAAGATTGCGACGCGACGTATCATAATCATCGCGATCCTCGAGGAAGATCGTATCTCGCGCCGCGCAATTTCGCAAATCGCGCATCTCCAATTACCGCCCGCGCGATCGCATCCCGCGTCGCTCCTGCCTTCGTTAGACCCGATCGAACAAATTCGAGTCGCATCCAAGCCGTCGCAGAGTTCCGGCGCTCGAAGGCCATCGCGTAAGGCAATCAGCCGGTGAACCGAACTTGCCGACGACTTGGCAAATCGCGCGACTCCCCGCTATCGCTGACGCGCGTTTCTCCGCGAGATTACTCGCCGCATGATCGAACACTCGCGCGAATCATCCGTCGCGCGGAATTCGCCGGATAATAAATCGCGATGCGCCGCTGACTCCGGCGCGTTCCGATCGCTTTGGTCACGTCGCGTCCCGCAGGATTACTCGAGAGGACATTCCTGCGCGCATGACGCGGCCGCATCGCGGCAGCGGAATCACCAAGCCCCATCGCGCCCCTCTCGTCTCTCGCCTCTCGCGGGCTAACCGTGACTTTGAACCTCGCGAGAGCGAGCGCTTCACGTTTCAGTGAACCCTCGGTGCTAAGTTCGGCCATGCGTGTATCCGATGGCATGGCCGCCGCTTGAAAGACTTCACGCCCAACCCCTCGCGCGAGACCGTCGTTGTCGCCTCTCTTCCTTTTTCCCTTTTCGGTGAAACTTTAGAATAGGGCCTTTTCCGAATTTTGATGTATTTCTGCTACTTGCTGGATAAAAAAAATCTTTGTTGCGACTACGACAATGATAATCGATGGGGGAAGCCCGAAAGACGAATGTTACCGACCTACTTTTTTCAAGTTTTCTTTTTTTCGGATCTTGCAAAACTCTGAAGGAAGGAAAAATGCACCAAATTTAAACTACTGAGTAAAAGTATAAGACACTCAATGAACTTTAATAAACCAAAGACATAAACTATTCTCCGCTGTAATTTAGACTTTATAATAGAAATTTGTGCTTCTGATTAAAGCAGAGCATGATTGTGAATAATGCTCTGCTTTATTTTGCTTGTAATTTATGATACGTCCTACCTTGGGGTCTCGCTAATCTTTTCATTATCCATTTCTAGTATATCGTAGACTCATCTGTTTAGTAAGGCGAAAGATTCGAGCAACAACTGTGAACGGTATTTAATCAGTAAATAAAATCGATATTTAAAATTTGAAATATATGGAATAAAATTTTCATGTTTTTTTCCTATAAAGATCTTAGCCCCCCTCCCCCCTCCCTTAATAATATATATGTAAAATTTTGTATACATGTTTTTTTTTACACAATAGTTTTGCAAACTATTTTGTAAATTACTGAACAAGAAAACGTAGTTTTTGGCATAATAGTACTTCTGAATATTTACCAAAAAATTGTTCAAAAAATAAGTGGGTAACATTTTTTTCAGGCTCCCACGATCGATATCACTGTCGGAGTCACAGCAAAGATTTTTACCATGAGAGTAGCAAATAAATATCAAAATTCGGGAAAGGCCCTATTCTAAAGTTTTACTCCCTTTTTTTTCTTCTATTCTGTTTTAATTCCCCTCGATCTCGCGCGGCGACGCTCAAACGAGCGAATCGTTGCGTAATGAAAGAGAGGGGGGCGCGCGAGAGGGACATCGTCATAATTGTCGCGTACGCGCGCAACTGTTGCATAAATCGCGGCTCTGCGGTCGCGAGCGCGCGTAGCACGCGAGCCCCGCGATTTTTATTCTTACGCGGATAACAAACAAAAGGCGATGCGACGCGACACAATGACGATGCGGATCCCGCGCGACGTATCGCGCGTAGCATCACCTTTTTACGATCGCGGCACGTCGTCGCTGCGCCGCGCGTCGTAACGGATGTGCATGCGCTAATAACCGGAGAAGCGCGCCGCGCGATAATAACGTCGCGATACGTTTCGTTGGGATTTTTCTTTTTTTCCCTTTCACAAAGCGCGCGCGCGTCCTTCCCAAGCGAGCGGGCTTCGTTTCGTCGCGATAATCACGTCTCCCTCGTAGGCTCGAGGTGGCGCACGAAGAACCTGACCTACCAAATCACCAAGTATCCGTCCGGCCTCAATAACGACGCGGTGGACAAGGAGATCAGGACCGCGTTCAATGTCTGGTCGGAATATACCGATCTCACGTTCACCCAGAAGAAGGGACTCCACAATAACGTAAGATCGCTTGCATTTTGCGCCACATATATGTTGTGTTCTTGTGTTTTGTGTATATAAAATTGTTACTTAAATTAATTAATATATTAATTAAAATTATATAAATTAATTATCTTTTACACAGGGCTCTCTCCAGGATTTTTTGCGAACGAAAAATTGTGAGAATTAATACACTGATAGAAAAATATAGTTGAATTAACTATAATCTCACTATATTTTATAGTTCATTTTGGCGTCAAGCATATTTTTATAGTTCGTCGAACCTGCAAAATATAATAGAATAAACACAAATATATAGTCAATGATTGTCTTAAATAATTGATTAGTTACTTTTACCACATATATGGTAATTTCTCATTCACAAATATAGTGAGATTTTATATTCGTATAGTTACATCTGTCATCATTAGCAAATATTCTGGTAACATTGACTATATAAAAGAGTTACTTTACCTACCATTTTATATTTGTATCCATAATAATATGTAATAATTTTAGTTTAACTTACTATAATTCTTAGTAAAAATATTATATGGTTGGTTATACTATGCCTATATCGTAATTATTACCGATATTACGGCAATACTTACTATAAATATGATATTTCGGATTATAATTCAGTTACTACATCATTATAGTTTCAAATATCATATACTTTTCTCTCAGTGTAGGCGTCATATAATTGTAGGTTAGATCATTCTGAACAAAAAGGTCCTTTAACATTTTGCAAATAAATTTTGCGCAAGTTTTCAAATTACCAATTAAAAAAGCTCCCAGATGTGGTCATTTTCAATCATTAATAACTTAATAACTATTGCGATTTTCGCAAAATGATAGATGACTTTTCTTCTTAGTTTGATCTGATTAATCTTCACAATTTTTTGTTTTCGAAAGATCCCGGACACCCTATATATATAAAATATCTTATGTCTCATATATATATATATATATATATTTTCGTGTTATATATTTTATATTTGTTATATTATATTTTTGCTATATCGCGATTAAGTCGCTTAATGAAACTTCCGGCATTCTGCCAGTTTTTGGCATTTTTGTGCGCTTTGTTTATTATTGGTTCATTTATTTACTCTCAATTAATCTCTGTGCACCCTCTTAACATTTCATAAAAACTGTCAAATTAATATTTTGCATATTCAATACTCGATGAAATCCGCGCGTGAATGCCGCGAGCAGTGTGTGGACACATTTCTTAGCTATTTATTCGTCATCATTTATTTATTTATTTATTTATTTATTTATTTATTTATTTTTAATCCCTGTATACCGGAATATTGCACGGAAAAGCGATCGAATGAATATTTTATACATTTGATATTTGATAAAATTCCCGCGCGAAAGAGGTGCGAAGACAATGGAGATTTATTAATTATTTATACATTGTTATTCAGTATTAGGTAAAACCGATCAAATTAACATCTTATATATGTAATATTTGATAAAGTCCACGTGCGAGAATACCGACAGAACAGGCAGAATGAGCCGCAGCTGGACATTTCATCGCGTCGACAACACGAAGAGCAATGCGGTGAAACGACGAAACTAAGATTGAAGGGGTTGCTTCAGGTACACATCGAGATCAGATTCGAGGTGGGCGAGCACGGCGACGGTGATCCTTTCGACGGACCAGGTGGCACTTTGGCGCACGCCTACTTCCCCGTGTACGGCGGCGACGCTCACTTTGATGACTCCGAACGATGGACCATCAGAAGCTACCGCGGCACCAACCTCTTCCAGGTTGCCGCTCACGAATTCGGACATTCGCTCGGCTTGAGCCACAGCGACATCAAGAGCGCCCTGATGGCACCCTTCTACCGCGGCTACGACCCTCACTTCACTCTGGATCGCGACGATGTCGACGCTATCCAGGTATGTAGACGACGACCAACTCGAACATGGACGTGACACGTCTCGAAGGGCGATTTCGGTGAAAGAATAAAACACGAGGATCATTCCAGGCCTTGTACGGCAAGAAGACCAACCACGGAGGGCATGGGCGGCCGTCGCCGCCCGCCGAGGAAGATCCTGAATTGTGCAAAGACCCGAAGATCGACGCGATGTTCAACTCCAAGGATGGCGAGACATTCGTGTTCAAAGGTATGAGCCGCAACTTTTCCGCAGCTTTTGGTCCCGACAAGACTGCTCTGGCGGCAACTAGTACTAGGTACTGAGACCACGGAATTTCCAGGTAAATACTACTGGAAGCTCACGGACAACGGTGTCGCCAGTGGCTACCCTAGATTCATCAGCAGCACGTGGAAGGAGCTCCCGTCGAACATAGACGCCGCGTTCACGTACAGAAACGGCAAAACTTACTTCTTCAAGGTGACTAACGGACACTTCTACTAACGTCGATCGGACCTCAGTTTGAGTTCAAGCTCTGTTCAGACAAAGACTTTCGAGCTCGGATTGAGGTCTAATCGACCAGTCGAGGATGTTCCACAGTGGAATTACCGACCTGCTTCTACCGGGGAGGTCGAGATGACAGGTTTTGAGAAAGAATACGTTACGCAAGGGCGGAAGCGTTGATTTGTTTCCTGCGATCTTACTCGACGCCCATTAAAGGCACGAAGCGCATCGTCAGCTAAATTCGTAGTAATTGTTCGAAGAAGTGGCAAACCGGTTATTGTTGATCGCCCGGTAGTTTCAGCGTTATGGACGGGCTTCGATGCGGGGATTGATCCGGAATAGCCGCGTGCGAACTTGAAGCGTGGACTAAAGTGCAAACTTTGTGAAACAGGGCACGCAGTACTGGAGGTACATCAACACGACCATGGACGGCGACTACCCGAAGGAGATCAGCGACGGCTTCACCGGCATCCCCGATCACATCGACGCCGCCACCGTGTGGACCGGCAACGGCAAGATCTACTTTTACAAGGGCACGAAATTCTGGCGCTTCGACCCGGCGTCGAAGCCACCGGTGAGGAGCAACTACCCCAAGCTGATCAAGAACTGGCAGGGCGTACCGGACCACATCAACGCGGCGATCACCTACAAGGGCTACACCTACTTCTTCCAGGACAATGCCTATTATCGATTCAACGACAGGACGTTCTCCGTAAGTGCTCCGCGGAGTCCTCTCCTTACAGTTCGCATTGTTTTCCCTGGCCAATGGCTACATTTTCACACCGACAAAGTTACGTCGAGCTCGACGCAATGTCGCAAGAGCGACAGCGTAATAATAACGCGCGCTTTCTCCCTGATTCTCCCTTTCATGTCGTGTCCCGAATTACGGCACGTTTCCATTGCATTTGTATTTATGTGGAAGGGAGGAGTTTGTGGTCTCTCTCTCTCTCTCTCTCTCTCTCTCTCTCTCATAAGGCACACTCTTGCGCACTGCAAGGTGTAAAAATATTTCCAGATAGAGTCGTGGAATATTTCCGTAAAATAAGGCACACTCTTGCGCACTGCAAGGTGTAAAAATATTTCCAGATAGAGTCGTGGAATATTTCCGTAAAATAAGGCACACTCTTGCGCACTGCAAGGTGTAAAAATATTTCCAGATAGAGTCGTGGAATATTTCCGTAAAATAAGGCACACTCTTGCGCACTGCAAGGTGTAAAAATATTTCCAGATAGAGTCGTGGAATATTTCCGTAAAATAAGGCACACTCTTGCGCACTGCAAGGTGTAAAAATATTTCCAGATAGAGTCGTGGAATATTTCCGTAAAATAAGGCACACTCTTGCGCACTGCAAGGTGTAAAAATATTTCCAGATAGAGTCGTGGAATATTTCCGTAAAATAAGGCACACTCTTGCGCACTGCAAGGTGTAAAAATATTTCCAGATAGAGTCGTGGAATATTTCCGTAAAATAAGGCACACTCCTGCGCACTGCAAGGTGTAAAAATATTTCCAGATAGAGTCGTGGAATATTTCCGTGAAAAGTGAAAAAGTAACATCATGCACGTGAGTGAATTGCGAATGTAAAACAACGATCTCTCATCAACCCACCAGGTGGACAGTGCTGAGCCCGCCTTCCCACGGTCGACGGCGTACTGGTGGTTCGGCTGCAAGTCCGCCAACAGGGGGACGCTAGGTAATGAGCTTTGGCCGTTGAATTTTGCCGGCAATCTGGACATGGCCGACGGTGACACTTACGGCGATTACGGTAGTCACGACAGCGTCGGCGACATCATTCTAGACGCAGGTACAAAATCTTGACTGAATCCTGCCTAGCCTCGCAGAGACCTCGGCGGCGTATCCACTGTCTGTCGCGGCATTGTCCACTCGGCGAGATGAGAATTCGCGCAGTGCCGTCCCCCCCCCCCGCAAAACTTCGGTCCCCGGCGGGCTTGCTGTAATCATTACCGCGGTCGCGCTAATTGCCGTTGATTCAGAGCTTAATGCACACAATATTCCGGGAACATTCGGATGAATGGGCTTCCGCGAAGCGACGTGAATTGCGCTTCGTTTAAATTAATACCCCGTATCGCGCGGCAGTGGATACCCGGTAGTAACCGCTCGTTCTCCTTCGTTGAATATCATCCACGTAGGAGCGAGTGATCGGCTTGCGCGACGAAGAGGCAGGCAGGAACTGCGAGATTCAAAACTTTGGTGTCTCGTACACCTGGCTATTACGATACACTGGGCTACTACCATCGCGCATCGCGGAGAGACTTGTGCACGCAATACTCTCGTGAAGGGTTCGTCAAAAGCTTCGCTGGAATCTCAAAGTCGACGATATGAGACGCTGGGGATGCGGGGATGACGTTGCGAACTCGAGCCGAATCAGAACGGGCTGTGGCCCGTAATGTCGCGTGAGAACGGAGAGTCCCCGTTAAAACGCGGCTCTTCCGCGCGCATCTCGTGCGCTTTATCGAGTCACAGATCGCTCAGATCGGAAGTGATGTAACGCACGTGTGTCTCGCGCAATGACAAAATCTGGCATACATTTCGAGCGCTGTGTCATAATTCGAGTTTTCCATGTCACGGACGGACGTTACGAAATAATCGAACTTCGCGGAAACGCGCTCATGGAAACGCGAGGTAATGCCTGCACAATTGGTCCGAATGCGATATTATAGAGAGACACGACATATTCTGGGATACAATGACGGCACCGCTCATACCGCATTAACGAAGTGTGCTCAGATTTGGAAAAAAAAAGAAAAGAAGGGAAAAGAGAAAGGAAAAACGTAACTTCACTAATCCGTTTTGCGTTTCATGAAAACGAGAGTAGCACTCAGCGCACGTAAGACACTAATCTACTAACGGCATAACATTGTCACTTGTCGCTGTTATTCTAACCACGTGATCGTCGACCATCGCTGTGGGCTCGAGGGTTCCCTTCCACTCGAGATTCGATCCGATTCACTCTCTCTGCTCTCTTCTCTCTTGTACATCACCCAAAAAAAAGTAATTTCGGAACAAGCGGAATCATCTAAATTTTTGAGGATTTTATTCTCATATATGGCCTCAAGAGGATTCCTCTAAGATCAAGAGGAAAATATTATTTATTTATTTGTTTATTTTTTTATTAATAATATACGGATCTGACCCCTTTGGTATACAGTAGTTGAGACGATAGTATAACGAGTAAGAAGATTCTCATACAATGTAAGTAGGGAAAGAAAGTAAAAAAATGAAAACAAGGAAAGAAAAAAATAAGAGAGGAAAAAAATTATAAACACATTATTCTTAAAATTAGAGGGATTATATGTTACATGTATATATGCAAATCTTATTGATTTTAATAGAAATTTCCTCTTATACACAGATTATTTAATTTTTTTTTAAGAGGATTATTATTTATTCTTGCTATACTTTATTCTTACTGGTTATACTAATTGATTTGAGAAAATTATTGTAACGTATAGCGAAAAGTAATATACATATATCGGAGATGTGCTTCTGGCTTCAGTTTTACAACAAGTAAGGCACGAATGAAATGAGATCATCATAACAAATAAATTTCTAATCGGTTTTGTTATGGACTTCATAGCTACGAAGATGTTCATCATAACCAATTGTATGAAACAGTTAAAAGAAAGAATATATTATTCAACTTCTTGCGATAGATTATAAACTGTATTTGACCAAATATGGGTGAATTATCTTCGTTATGTGTTACAGCAACACACATATCTTCTTTTAAAAAGCGTTCCAAATATTCTGATCCATCAGCATATGGTTATTTTTTCGTTCGTGTCTGAAGGTAGAGCACGACTGAACAAGAGAAGCCGACATTCAAATCAACATATCCCTCTTCATACAAGAGGAAAATTAATTGATACAAGAGGGGATCCTTTTGAAGTAAGAGGAAAACAGTTGGAAATAATATCCAGTAAATTTTAGATGAATGGTTCACTTTAACCGCTTGATCGAAAGAGGAATCCTTTTCCCGCAAAAGGCTTCGCTCAGAACATGAGACTGTGGGGAGAAATCACTTTGCAAATAGAATACTTTTCTTCCGGGTGATATTGTCTCTGCATTCGATGTGTCCGAGTCAATGTTACCCCGCCTCTTCTCGCGCGTCGCTAGCGATCCATCTCGCGAACTGGCAAAGCCCGAAGTATTTATTAGCCAGGCTATACGGGTGAGAACCGAGTTCCCTTTGCGAAAAACTGCCGACGTCGAGAAGCAGATCGCGGTGATCGCGAGAGATCACCGCCGCCGTGTGTCACCCTCCGCCGCAACCAGTTTGCAGACAAGAGTAAATATTCTACTAGGACTAAGAATTTTCTCGCACTTTCCCCCCTCATCTTCGTCTCGCTTGCACGCGGACGGTTTACGTTTGGCACTCTACGGTTGTGGTAGATTTTCTATTCTGTGTGCACTCTCTCTCTCTCTCTCTCTCTCTCTCTCTCTCTCTCTCTCTCTCTCTCTCTCTCTCTCTCTCTCTCTCTCTCTCTCTCTGTATTTTTATCGGTAGACACGGTACGTTGGGACACTCGACGCGAGATTTCACGCAGCATGAGCAGTCTCCTTGCATCATCACACGCACTGAATTGACTCACACAGTATGAGAATTTGATCGAAGTTGGGGTGATAGCGCACAAAAGAGGCTGAGCAGTCGCTCGACTTCGCCCAGCGGAGCGCGGAATCCGCGAGACTCGCTGTCGCGGGCGTTTCATCCTCGCCTCTGCTCTTTCCTCTTTCCGTGCGCTACGCGCCTCACCCACGCACCAACACACGCATCTACCCTTAAAATTGGCGCACACGAGGGAACGCGCGCACCTGCACGCGAGCGTGAAACAAGGAAGTGCATGAGTAACCGCTGCCGCTGGCAGTTGCGTTGTTTGGAACTTAATCTGTCATAAAAAAAAGAAATGTGGTTTCGACTCGCCCCTTTCTAACAACGGAGTATCCCCTCCCCCCTCTCCCCTCCCCCGGTCCTGGTTAATTCTTTCTTTCTCTCTGACAAGTTTTCGGTTTCACACTTGTAGCACCCCTCTCCCGCCGGTCGGTGAACATCCGACCGTACGCACGCGTTGATATTTGATTTTTTTTCACTTACACACACACACACACACACACACACACACACACACACACACACACATCCTCGTTGCACGATGACTCGACTCCAAAGTACGTCCCATATGACTACGGAGGATCTTAATTCATTTTAATTCTCTGGAAACATGGCATGCACTGGTTCTAAATTGCACAATCTATTTCCCCCCCTTCTTTCTCCCTCTGGGTGACGACTAGGGTTGCCAAATCCAAAAGTTAAAATTACCGGATATTTCTTCTTTGGTAACAAAACCAAACCAGACTAAACCGGACAGAAATAATAATAATCATAACGTTATATTAAATACAAAAGATGACAAGAATTTATTTACAATATTAATTTCCAAACAATTTTATAAACAAAATTTGATTGAATAAAATAATAAACTATTACTTTTTTAATATATAATACATTTTATTATCGAGCACGAAACTAAACAATGTTTTAGCGACGTTTGAGTGTTACGAGGATTGGCGAATGATGGATCGGCACATCATCTGCTAGATGGCACTGTTTCTCGTGGTGCTCGATCATTTGTAGGCGCTTGAAACAGAGAAACGTTGCTAAAATCTGAACTCTCATTCCATTGATTGAATATAACTTAAAAATCGGACATATGACGTCCGGTTTGATTTGTTAACCGGACACCGGATAAGACTTCTGAAGAATCTGATAGTTCGGGTAAAAAACGGACAACCCTAGTGGTTGGCAACCCTAGTGACGATTCATCATCGGTCGGGTTCAAGTGGGACAGTGCACGGTGTTTCTTTATCTTAGAACCTGATTAGTTTCTTAATCTTAAACCCCGATAATTTTTAAGTTTCGATTCTCTCCCTCTACGCTCTCCTTCTCGTTACTGACGCGCTCTCTACTTCGGTTATTCTCTACCTTACCGTGACCGCCGAAATCAACGAGAAAAGCCGTAAAGACGCCGTAGCTCTCGTCTGAAAGATTTTATGGACACTTTCTGTGCTTTTGTCACTTGTGACTGCGACCTGTGATGTCCGGCTTTCTTATCTCTCAATCGGATAAAAAGCGTAAAACTTCGGTTTGCAAAGTACAATATAAATTATGTTCTTTGATTCACAGTTATCAACTGCATCGTATAAAAAATGTTCAATCAATTTTAAACTTTATGATGGACGTTTTGCGTGTTCCTAACCCCAGACAGCACACGGATGTCCATTGGACGTCCGTTATATGTCCATTCTTTTTACAAAAGACGTCCATAGGACGTCCGATGGACGCACATCGGACGTCCTACAGGTCCAATGTCCAATAAGGACATCCTTGTTACGTCCAATTTGTGTCCACGGACGTAAATCGGACATACGGACATAAATTGGACGTGAAACGTACATCCATTGGATGTCCGGTGCTGTCTTCCAGGACCTTACGTTAACAGTCGCCTTCATAAAAAAGAAACGAGGCGACATTCAAGGAGCATTCAAGGAAATTTCACGAAAATTCTATCTCGACCAAAACTCACGGCGCGCCCGTTGCTTACATCTGACGCTTTAGCAAGTAACTCTAATTTCTCTAAAATCTAAAATATTATTGACACTGGTACTCACCAATACGCCGGTACGTGTAAAAAAACGGCTTTTCTCTCGCGAAACGGCCTCATATTCTCCACGACCTGCGGGCCATTTCGCGCCTTTACTCCCGACGACTGTCCGGCCATCTTGGTCAAAATGTATTTAAACTTTCCGTTACGATGCCACGATCGAGCAGCCATCTTTGACGCTGTCGTTGCCCACTGTGTTTACGCAAAGAACGCGCACACGAGTCAGCGTGTGAAGTTAAGAATCGTGCACTCGCCAATAGAGTCACATTGTGCGACGACGCATCGACAGCTCGTGGCTCGATCAAAAAGAAAGAAAATTCGAGAAGGAGACTCACCTTACGAGCGCAGGTCGACTCGACCGTCCGCATTAATCGGGAGCAATCGCCTTTTCCAGAGGACAACAATGTACACTCCAAATTCGGGAGAAAGTGAGCGAGATCGAAAACGGCGCGCGGTCCACGCGACCAGCCATACGCGCCGAAAACGTCCCGTATTTACCGCGCGGAAAAACGAATAAAAGTTCCAAACAACAGCGGCGGCGGCGGCGGCGGCGGCGGCAGCGGCAGCGGCAGCTGGCGGCCAACGTACAGTTTCGCGCGTCTCTCGAGTGCGCGCGCGCATGCGCGCGCGGCCACGCTGGTGACAAATTCCGTCACTACGACGATTCGAATTTCAACTCGACAGGAGACACCGACGAGCTCGTCACGTCGTCGAACCACAATCATGCGGGTTCCGGGACGACGGGAACTTTCGGCAGCCCGTCGGCGACGGCATGGCAACTCGCGCTCAGCGTCGCGACAACGATCATCGTCGCAAGGTCCGTCGTCTCCACGTAAAGGACAGCGTCCGGAGCTCATCTCGACCGGCGGGACTGCGACTTGTCGATTGCGACCTCTCGATCTCGAAGCGATCGAGCGGCAACGTTCGAATCGACGTGTGCGCGTGCGCGCATGCGCACGCAGGTTGACGCGACGAAGGCGCCGATGGAGGACTGATTCCGCGGGGATACTCCGTTCGATCGTGGACGCGTCGCTGCGACGAGAAAAAGATGCCAACGACGCGCGACGGTGCACAGCTTTCGAGGAGTTGGCGCGCGTCTGGTAATTAAGTTTAGATAGTTAGAGAATTGCGCGACGAACAGTGCTTCCCCGCTAGGTGCTGCCCTCTCCCTTCGATTGCGTGCTGCAGAGGCGCGTCATTTGAAAATGACCCGCGCACGAGCGGTTGCAGCTGCATCCTCGACCTCTGTTCTCTTCGGCTGTTTGTGAGAAACATGCTGCGGCGGCGGTGAGCGAGGAGGAAGAGCGCAGCTGGAGGCAACAGACCGTCGAGTTTGCAGAATTTGGTTGACGAAAGCGAGTGTATTGCGTCGTATTTTCGAGTTTTAAGTTTCACGCAGCAACGTAACACAGGACCCCTCTACACTGCCTATTTATTCGCGTGTCCACCAAGTTGCGAAGACTTTGACGTTTTAAAGGCACTCCACTGACTTCTCGAGACTCAAGTGTGCGATTGTTATCGTGAGGTGTACTGAGGATACGCCTCAGGATTTGTTGGGACGAGACGTCGCGAGAGACACGACGGTTGAATAATTGAAATGTAGTCGGATCGGATTCTTGACTGACAATATCGTCAAAAAATATTTGTTGATCAATGATGACGTCACATGAGTATTATAGATCCCGCTGCCTGCGTAAAGCAACAACCAAAATGTCCTGTGCATAACGCGCGAAACGATCCTCTACACATGTCCTGTATATTACACACCTGTGTCCTCGACGTTCAGTCGTTTGCGCGCGATTCATTCTCGCGCGTGTACACGAATGTCTATAGTACTCATGTCACTAAAATTATGTTACGATTATACTAGAGTAATTGTTATCTTATGTGCAAGTGCCTTAGAGAGTATTTTTGTAATTTATACGCTAAGGAAAATTGTACATTCACACACCTCTGTCCGAGCGCAACTTTCTCCGTGTATGCCACTTCAAGTCGTCCAACGTCTTCTGGTTTTCCCCTTGCCACGTGACGTTGCGCGTTTTTGAAGAGAATTCTCTCTCCTGTTTTTTTATATATATAAACGCTTCCATCGCGGTTTCCCAGTAATAGCTTGTCTGTCAGATAATTTTATACGCAACTGTTGTAGCTAGTAATTATTGAGATAATTGTACGCAAGTTGTCAGATTGACTTCTGACAACCAATGGTGCTGTGTGCGAGAATTTATATACCGTTCTTATGTATAAAGCGTTAGATCCTAGATCTTAGATGGAAGTGCACTTCGACAGCGCAATCGCGTTTCTCAGAGTACGCAAAGAACGCGTCCTCTGGTCCACTCTTCTCTCTGGTGGAAGAGAACACTTCCAACGGGGGATTACGCGCGCGCGCGCGCGCGTTGTGGATCGTCGTCTTCACTGTATCCAGTATTAACAGATGTTTAAAACAGATTGTTAATACTCTCTCACTCGGTATTTTCTTACATTTGAAAATGAGTCTTAGCGGGGTGATACCGTAAGTTTTTGACCAGTACTTAATCGTTAAGGATTATGTGGCCTCAAGCGCCATCAGAGTGCAGCAAGAAAGGCCTCGTACGACCTTTGAATATCTTGTTAAGCAGAGGAACAATTTATTATCCGCACTATTTTCCTTTGAATTGATTACAATATAGCACCACATTAGCGACAAGAGGTTCCGGTGCAACAATCGTGCAATACACATACTTGTCAAATCGGAAAATTGTGCAAAGCCTTTCTCGGTGTCACTACTGATGTCAGGGTGTTAATGATTCATATTGAAACTTGCCACGCTACTGCGCCGTGCCCTGAATAAAATCTCTATTGTATTATATTTTTCATTGTCATACAAATAGTATTAATAAATATATGTACGTTTATTTTAATTACACGATATCTTCAGTTAGATATCATATTAGCGAGACTTGCGAAATTTTAACTACACGACGATGCTAACTTGATATCATTCGGAGACATATCGAAATTACTGCAAATATATATATTTAGATATATTTATATTTACAGTGTATATAAATATATACATATATATGTGTATATATTTACCGTCCTTTACCGATTTTTATGAGATGGCTCTTTAATGCCGGTTTATATTTTAAGAGTTTACCGTAACTTTTGAGGAGCCGTCTCCAGAAGTATGTAACGTCCGACATTCGCAAATTGTTCCATATAAAGTCCCTCCCGCGATCCGCAATCTTTTTGGCTAAATCATCATTGTTTATTACAAATGTGATTAAATCCCTGAAAACGTGATAAAATAAATTAGAGAAGAATGTAATAAAGATAAGAAATACCATACAATACAACAGTTTGTTATTGCATAATTATCTCACTCTAATTCTTTTTGATCTGCGTATTTGGAAAGTGGCACATAGTGTATCCACGGTTTCATGGCATCATAGTAGAATTCAGTCCAGTCGTCGCCGACGTGAAAGACCAACGATCGGCACAAGAACAGGTGCTTGTGCCGAAACGAGGCAGCCACACCTCGGAAATTAAACAAGTATTTGTACCCGCAATGCGACTCCAAGGATACCACCGATGCTGGCTCTTGGTGCAGAGTATCCTGAAATAAAATTCAACTTTATAAGGATACAACAGTCTGTTGACATGATTTAAATAATTAACAAATCGAGGGGACACCATGTCATGCGGTAAAACTAATCGGTAGGTAATTCAGTAGAAATATGATAGTACCTCGTTAGACTTCCATGCTTGATTTTTCGTATATTGAGCATCCACCAGGTGGGATTTATTTCGACTCAACAAGATCAAATTGTCACGTTCCGAACTTGTTCGAGACCCACGAAAGAAGCCTTTACTCTCCTTCTTCTCCCATGGAGTTTCCAAGCTTGCCTTATTTAAGGATTTTCGATGCTGATCCCATCTGCCAAGACCACGGGGATACAATGAGATAGCTGGACCACCTTCCCAAAATGCCCATGCTGGATACATAATATCATAATACTGTGGTGTCTATAAATATATTTTGCAAGCTGCTCAACTTTCAACAAACTTGTATCAAATATGATTTAAAGTTGTACATAAAAATGTTTCCTCGCAACAAGAACTTTGACAACGGATCCATTATTTACCTTACTGAAAGAGAATATAGGCAGGAGGTTTCCAAAATATTCACTGGACTGAGGGTAATCTCTGGTGTTTATGACTAAATCCATATCTGATAAATTACCGATTACTTTTAATAGAAAATGTTCAATCCCAGCGCATCTCGCTGGAAACATACAGTCTTTTTCTCTGTACAATGTACCTTTGATTATTTGGTAAAATGTACCCCTGCGATCGCACACATATAAAAACATTTAGCTTAAATAACAGAAGTATATGGAAGTATAAATCTATGTATGCTACAAGTACCTAGTTTTAGCAGCATTTATCATTTCCTCACTTATGCCTTTCTTTTTAAACGGCCTCAAATCCCGCAAAATAACATCCTTGAAACACTCGTGTTTTGTATTATTGCATTCTTTGTAGTTTTGCTCTGCATCTCGAATCATTGTCAGATACTTTTCATACTTTTCATTTGTTGCTAATGACAGACAGAACATGTATAATACAATACAGATTTCGCGCTATTGTACTGCATCACATAAGCATTGTAAAACCGTCAAAGATTGTCTTGCAGTTTGTATATGTTGATATGTTGATAGGCTGCAACAAAAGCACGGTACCTTTCGTGTACATCGACGATTTTCCGACGTTAATTCCGCTCTCTTCGCAGGATTCTGCATCGCGTGCAGAACAGTATTCCTGTTGGCTCAATCCACCGGCGAGGACAGTCAGCAGGATGATTGAAACCGACACTGACATATTTGATGAAAAAGAGCTACATCACGACAATCATAAAAATTATGAATAACAAACGTGACAATCAGCCGCTCTTTCGCGCAAAGTGGTTGCTCGGCCAGCTGGCGACATCTAGAAAAAGACGCGGAGAACGACGATCCCATCAGTCGTTAATAACGCTGAGATATCTCAGTATTGCCAACAGATGTCAGCAGTTCATCCCTCCGGTGGGCGACATATAACTGTTTCCTGTTCTTTTCAGCTGCACACTTCCTGCGGTTGCTCGCACAATTTCCTCCTCCTCCTTCTCCTCCTCCTCCTCCTCCTCCTCTCCACCGAATCTATACCTCTTCAAGGTATATAACGCTTTGTATTTCAGTCAATATCAAATATAGGTCAATATCAAATATCACATAAAAATTGAATGTAACAGACGCGATGGAAGAGAGAGAACAAATCCTCGCGCTCGCGCTTTTTCAAGATGCGATCGATATAAATGTAATTCCCAAATATAGCCAAGGTACTTCAAATATCGAATATTAACGAACATACGTGTGTATATCGCGCGGGCAATTATATCGGCCGGTCGCAATGGAGCCCACCACCTTATTATTACCCGATTTCAGCAACGCGATTTTGCATTAAGGTTAGTAGGTTGTTAATAGCCGGCGAGCGCTGCCATTTTTCGAAATGCTCGGAAGAAGAGCGAACCGTTAGCGATTTAATGTACGCCTACACGGCCGAAGGCGGGAGGACAATCGAACGGAGCTGAGAACGGAAGTCTAATGGGGAAACGATAAGATCCCCTTTTCCGCGCTTTCTTGGCTCTCTTTGCGGTCGCTTCTTGTTTACGACAACGTCGCGCGAGAATAAGTGTTGCGCGCAAATTACTTTGACGACCCGCGCGACTTTTCCGCTCTCGTCTCGCGATTCGACACGAGCGCTACCCGTCGATACTTGCCGTCGATAAATCGATTGAAGCAGCGTTAAAATATTACGTTGCCGTCCCGTCATATCTCATTACTTGCGTTTGTTCCTTTGCAGTTCATCACGCGTCGCTTGAGGATTTCTGCCGCGGCTGTCATCGCGGCAACAGGTGCGAGGACGATCGACATTTCAGGTAAACGTCCCAGTGACGCCGACCCGACTTTGAAAAAAAATATTTATCATTTGTTTCAACCATAATGAATGAAAGTAATAATTATTGTAAAAACACTCCAATATTTTTTACGATTAGTTGGAAAAAGACATACCCACTCCTGTACTAAAATAAAAATTAATTAAACAAGTACGCACCTGTAGCAATTTGGCAAAATAATGGTCAATCGTTAATAAATTCATTAAGAGATAGCATATTGTCTCTCGTTAGCGCATACTAATTTTCGAATCGCGGTCAGACACCGAGACAAACTATACCTGAACAGTGGACTATAATCTACTTCAACTATCCGGTATCACAATGGTGATAACATCAATGCGCTTCATTACTCGCACTTGCAGTATTTCATTAATAATAGATGTATACATTGGTTTAAATAATTTTTCTCTACTTAAGGGAATCGTAAGTAGTTTCCGGATGAACGCAAATATTTATATCAAAACTATTGTTAATATTATATATTATATTTTTTTGTGACGATCCACGCTTAAACGTCCGGTTACTGGGTTACATTTCTGGGAGGATAGTCCCAGAAGTACCTGACCTGACGTATAGATAGCGGTTGTTGTTTGAAAAGAATGACTATGGTAGAAAGTACCAACCTTATAAAGCTTAAGTTTGAAGTTTGACGACGCTACGTTGTTTAGTATCTGTTTGGCAGCCATCAATAGTGAACGCTCTCGGTGAATTTGTAAACATGGAAAGAATCGTTATGTGATACAATACTTTCATTTGAAAAGCCTCAGTCCAACCAATATGAAAGCGGAGCTAGATTCTACTCTGGGGGAATCTGCTCCTTCGTTTACAACAGTAAAATATTGGGCGGCAGAGTTTAAACGAGCTGCCGTACGAGCTGCCAGGACGAACTTCGCAGTGGTCGACCAAATGAGGTGACCACGCCAGAAATGGTGAAGAAAATCCACAAAATGGTATTGGATGACCGTCGACTGAGAGTGCGCGAGTTAGCAGACATGGTTAGGCATTTCAAAAAGTGCTGTACATCGCGTATTGACTGAAAATTTGGACGTGAGAAAGCTGTGCGCAAGATGGGTGCCGCCGATTGGAACAAAAACAGCGTCGTGAGAATGTTTCAATCGAGTGTTTGGCGAAATTTCGCAGCAATAAAGCCGGATTCATAACCATGGATGAAACATGGGTCCATCACTTCACACCTGAGACGAAGGAACAGTCCAAACAATGGACCAAGGTGGCTTGATGGCTATTTTGAGGAGCTCGACGATTCCCACCATAAACAGGGTATCGAAGCTCTTGAACATCATTGGGAAAAGTGTATTGAGCTAATAGGAGACTATGTAGAGAAATAAAGATATCTTTTCTCAAACTTTTTGTGTTTTCTTTGTTAGGTCAGGTGTACTTCTGGGACTACCCTCGAACCTCAACGCGCACGCTTTGCACTCACCGATGAGAGATAAGACCTTTTCATCTGATGCGTCCACATGACTCCCAGCCTTCAAATTTTGACAGCAGATCACGCCGCTCCTTGTCATCAGGCTGAAATATCAGAATACCGCGGATACGGATACGGATAGGTGATACACATTTCCTACGTGTCTCCCCCATTTCCCAATTTCCATGATTTCTCAAAGAAATTAAATTCCAGATGTGTAAAATGCGCCATTCTATGAAAAGAAGAAGCGCAAGGCGGAAAATGCAAAAGCTGCGACTGCGAGAGCCCAATAATCCCGAGGAATCGAGCGCGCTGTAATTATACGAGCCAAGTGCAACTTCAAATAGCTAAATTACTCGTTGCGTTATCGCAAGAGCCATCGCGAGCGCACAAAGGGGAAAATTCGCGATAATCATAATCTCTGTGGCGCGGCCGCCGATGGTCGGATAATGACGACGGTAAAGTCAGCCGCGGCTCGAGGCGGAGGCGGCGGAGAGAAACAATGGGCCGGGAGGATCGTCCTACTTACGCAATTCTTAGATATTCACGCAGTCCGCGTACGCAGTACGCACAATTATCGCTTTGTCCCCCCCCCGCCCCCCGCCCCGGGTCCCGCGGTCGCCGCTTATACCGTTCGCGATCTCTCTCACAGTTTCTCCCGGTTTTGCAATTTTTCCCTTCGTTATCGCGCGGTTGGGAAACTCGCCGGCTCGCTTTTCCGCGAAAAGCGATCAATTACAGCCGCGCGCGCCGTGAGAATACCGTGTATTCTGCCTCCGATCTAGAAACCGCGCTCGCGCCGCGATTGTTTACCTGTCGGAAATGATGGAATACGCGCGCGACCCGACGACGACGACGAGCAATTTCTTTCGCGATTGCGTCACAACGCGCCAACCGTTTCTCTCGCGGACGTTCGTCCGGCGGCGGGAAGAAAGCCGCGCGCGAGGGCACGATTGAATCATAATAACGTAATATATCGGCGGAGGTTAATTATAATTAAATTACCGGTCGCGGCTCTTTTTTGCCTCATTCATTCGTTCGCTGAATGGGGTTTTGTGAAAGCCCCTCCGCCGGACGGATGGGCTTCCTCCCTTCTCGACTCCCCGCCGAGGGAAGTCTGCTACCGCTTCCTACATGCGTCGCCGCCTGTGGTCTGCGACGACGGGGCTTTTCTTCTAATTACGTCGCTCACGTCCGCGTAGGAATCTCTCCGCGCGTGTATGACGCGCCGTTAATTCCGCGGCGCGCGCGCGCGCGCGTGTGACGCAAATTCAATTTTCCGCGCACGTTCGGCCGCGACCGCGATTGAAATTCACGCCGCCTCGCTGTGTCTCGCTCCTTTCGGGACAGCGTGGGAAAAAGGAAGCGCGCTAAATATACCGTGTACCGAAAGAACGAGCGACCGTGAAATCGCCGCCGCCGCCGCCGCCGCCGCGGCCCGCCTTAGCATTTCCGAGAGCGCTAACGCGCGCTTCGATTTTACAGGATCGCATGGACGAGCGACTCGCCGCGCGACTGTCCCGCGTAGGAAGCAGCAAGAAGAACAGAGACGGCGAGATCGTTGCTGACACAGGATACGGATCGCATACAGAGACACCGACACGCGCCGTGCAAGGTGACAGATCGCTCGCTCGCACACCTACGCGATGCCGCGCCGCGCCGGGGTATCGCTTCCGCTTCGGCGCGCGTGTGTGAACAGGTAAGCGGAAAAATTGGCTCGAATCGACGGAATCGCTTCCGGCCGCCGCGGCCGACGGCGAGCCGAGCCAAGCGTTATGTGCTGCGCCGGGTGGACCAAGCGCGAGGCCTGCGTGTGCGTGACGTCGGTGAGGGCGAGCGCGTTCGGCGGCGGCTTTATATTTAGAATTTAAGCATCGAACAAAACCGGGAATAGAGATCAGGCCACATCCGGAAGCCCGTTAGACGCGGCAGGCTGGCCGGCCGCGTGTGGGGACCGGAGTCAGGAAGGTCGAGCGGAGAGCCGCGCTCTGCTGGTGGAGCAAAATCCGGCCGAGGCAAGGAAGACGGGATCCCGTCCTTCGCGAAGAGGCGGAGGGGGGGAGGAAGGGCGCGATGTGGAGCGCGCAAACACAAGTCGACATGAGGTGGAACAACGCACCTTTTCGCGAACAGCAGCCTCCCCGGCTGCTCGCAGACGTCCGTCGCGGTACTTGACCGCGACGGTGACTACCGCTCGCTGTTATCTGCATCTAAAATTGTATAGATGGTCGTCGAGATACAGCTCTGGCAGCGACTTATTTTTGTCTTGTTGGACGACGCGCGCGCAGGTATACGTGTCACTCTCGTCCGCCGACGATTTTAAGCCGAAGAAGGTGTTGTCGGAATTCTTACGGCGAGATCTTTGCGCTATTGTTAGGACGGGCGGGCGCAAACGTGTAAAGTATTGAAATGTTTCTCTTGTGTCGTAGACGTTTGGGAGTGAGATTGCCGGGTTGTCATTGTTCATCCGTAATCAGGACGAGCTGCCGAGGAGAATTTGCACATTTCATCTCGCGTAGCTAATTTAAGCCTTTGCGCATTCGGATGTCCCCTTGCAGGGGAC